ATTGCCCCAGCCGATCAGATCTATGAGGAATGACGGAATGGGAGCTATACATTTGACTAGGGGTACCAGATCTCAAGAAAGGAGTCATCGTAGAAGAAGGAGCCATGTTTATAGATTGTTTAAAATTGGTGTCCTGACCAAGGAATTTCGTGTTCGCCCTTGCGAAATTTAGTGAAAGCTGGGAGTAAGGTGAAGCTGGAAAGCTGGCTGTTGATGGTGACTGTGTCGAAGAGGGCGAGGAAGATGAGAACTTGGCAGAAGCTGATGATGATGAGGGCGAGAGTAGATAAGAAGGGGTTAAAGTGCTTGTAATGTTTCGAGATGTCTGGGGTTTAGGCTTGTGGTTATGGTGGTTGAAGCGTTGCTTACATTGACCGAAAAAGTTACGGGGGATGCTAGATGGAGAAGGGCAGAGGAAAGATCGTGGAAGGGAGCGGGTGGAAGACAGCATGACTATATATATATAAGAGATAAGTAGTGTAAACGACGAATAACAAATGAATAATGCCGCAGACGCCGGATTCAAATATTTTTGGGGTAAGGTGAGTGGAGAGGAAGGGGGGGGTATTGGGGGGGTAAGGGATAAGTTAACTTGTAACTAATGAGGGAAGAGAGCATGGGGTGCTCGAGTGTGGCTACCGTGGTCCTTCCAAGTGGCCGACTACCCTCACACAGGAAAAAATAAATGTGGAGCTTGTCTTTCTTGCCCTTGTCATGTTATGCTGCGTATCGTTGCTGTTGTTGTCTCTCACTCGTAACCCGCAACCACCCATTGCACAAGCCAGTGCCGCACAATGCGAGCGCAGTATGATACGGTGCAGTATGATACTGCAGCAACAAACTAACAAAAGTGTGAGAAGGAAAAAATGAAATGAAGGATGAATGGAAAATATGCTGTGCGCAGCTTGTACTAGTACCGTACAGTACTCGTACATGCGAGCGAGCGAGGCATTCCCGGCTCTTCGAGACCTGCAGTAACCCCAGCTTCGATGCCTGCCTGGCCACCTAGCTACTCGAGTACAGTGCCTAGCTGCCGCAGTTGTCGTGGCAGGCAGATACTACAGTACGACGATTGAGTTGATCCTCTCTCAAAGTCGAGTGGAGGAGGGAAGGGGGGAAGAGAAAACATGAGGACAGCACGGTATTATCTGACTATAATATTATACGAGGAATTTAGGCGCTGAAAAGGTCAAGGGAAGTTGGTGTGATTACTAGAATCATAAGATGGGAGGGGTTTGTTGATACTGACCCTTGAGAAAAAGGAAGGAGGTCAAGGGATCCATTTTAGGGGGGGGGAAGGCTTCTGGAAATCAGACGCAGACGTCGGGTCATTTCGGAACAGCTCAGCGTTCCCGTGTCCCGAGTTTTACAGGGTTCTCAAAAAAGTGTGAAGTGGACCTTCGGGTTTCTGGTCACATCCCGAATTCCAGAAGCCACGAAATATTACAGTAAATTTCAAAACCCCTTATGATTGAATAACTACTCCTTATTATTTCCCCCTTCCCGCCAAAAGGTTCCCTACAGCATCACAGACCCGGACATTTTTCAAGAGCACTGTTACCGGCATCGTACTTGACCTGGGCAAGGGGTTCCCGGAAACAAGGAACGAGAGTACTATTACAAGTATTGGTATCTGAGCCCCAATGCAATACACCCACCTGGTTTTGGGATATTTCTTGCCCGGGACCAGTGCATTTATGCATTGAAGAGATGACCTCTCTTTTCCCAACAGTCTTCTTTCAGAATATCAATTAGCGATTGGCGATATGTCGCAGACGCCATACTTGTACGGCACTCCCCTATGACTCCCTCCACTTATCGCTTAAGAGACAGCCCCGAGGAGGTCAACAGGGGCTGGCCTAGCTCGCGGCATCTGTACGAGTACTGTATTGTATTTACCTTCGAATGGCAAATTATCGCTGCCGGACGTAACAATAAAGGAAGCTCACTTTCAGGATTGTGGTTTTGAGTCTTTTTTTTTTTTCCCTTCCCGCTCCCCGCTCCCTCTATTGCCTAGAACATAGTCTACGGTGCCTTCACCCATTTGGTTTATTTTAATTTTTTTCCTTTTTTTCTCAGCTTCCGCTGCACATACCACTAATCGATTGTTGCTTCGAAAAAAGGTCCCAAAAAAAGTTCTTCCGTGTACAGTACTGTACTCGTACAGAGTACCGGTACCAGTATTGCAACAGAAGAGAACTGCACCCGAGCGTTTCACAGTCGCCATCCACCATCAGCCTTGCCCCCCTACTCGAGTAGAGTATGATACTGCACAACATCCTAGGATTCCCGTTCAGTAAGCTAGTCGCATAACTCATCCCCGAATGGGTCCGTGATACCGGCTTACATGCTCCATAACATAACCTATCCACCGCTATCTGGAGTGGTCGAATGCATGCACGGTACGGTTCTGTATCCCTCCCCATCTCCTTCTTTCCTTCCCAATTGCAACGCTCTTTCGACAATCTTCAGGAGACTTCTCCTTCAATAGGCTTACGCGGGTCTGTTGCGCACATCAAACCCCGGTACCTGTAGGCTGCACTGTAGAAGTGCTGTGCTGTGTTATGGCTCCAATAGCTACTTGGTCAATTCCTCGCGGGGCCGACAGGAGAAATATTTTTTTTGATTCCCTCCTGCCTCAAGGTCTCACAGTGAGGCTTTTTCCTCCTCTTCAGCATCCTCCTCATTCTGTTGATTACGGGCCTCCTTGCTGTCGTCATGGCACTGTAAGAAATGGTTGGGAAAGGGAAGAAGGAAGAAAAAGGAAGAAGAAAAGTGAAAAAAGTCCCCCCGTTGCATTGTTTCATGAGTGATTACGGTAACACAAGATCGGGTTGGTTTGGAAGTTGGGCGAGGGTGGAGGGGGAAGGGAGTTGATCCGCACCCTCTCGATCCGTCGCGCACCCCAGATTTTCGCTAAATTTGCAGCTTGAGGTAAAGAGCACACGACACTAAAAGAAAATCAAGCCTTTTCGCTACGTCTTTTGGAACATCACGCACGAATTGGTTATAAGGAACGGGGTAAAAAATGATAATAATGTGATTGAAACTTTCCGGAGCTTAAGGGGGGGGTTGGCCTTATCAGGACTCGAAATGGGGTTGAGGGAAGTTTCCGGCAGTGGCTTATATTCGTTCCGGTGCTTTTGCCACTCTGCAAGATAGGGTACCGTATTCTCACAGTTCTCTTGGCCCAACAGATCTCCCGGTACTCGAGTATGCTTATGTTCGCAGAGCACCGCCCTCGTGGGCACCGTAGGTAAGTCTCGGTCGGCATTTACGACACTTACTCTCCGGTTGCGGAGAGAACGCCTGATTCGTATCGTACCGTTTTTTTCCCCCGGCTTCTTGACACCTGAAATACCGGGCCAACACTTTTTCCATCTCGTGCACTTTACTGGTTGGTATTTACAAGTACGGGTAACTCGTAAAGCTTAGCATTACAACACTGAATATTAATCCGCCCCCCAGGAGTCGTTTTTTTGATTCCGGCACAAAAGTGCCTCTAGCCAGCCAGCTAGTCAGCCGTTGTTAACGAGCCGCTTTCCGGTTGAGTGTGTGTGTGGGCAAAAATCTTGTGCGATTGATTGGACACACCTTTACACCAGAAAATCGTCATTTCGAAAGGGTTTTTAACAAGACTCCTTCCCACAATTCTGAACCTGCGTGGAAAACTTTCCAAGCAGTTATATAATATCCAACAGTTTACAAAGTCTCCTGGCGCTTCCCCCATCGCGTTTCATTCGGCTCATCGATGATTGGGAGCGCTTTGGAGAGGAGTTGCCGCGGCGCTTATCTTGGCGAATTGGTGACAGTGTTGGACTTTTCGAATTGGTATCAAATGATAGGTGGGACTTTTTTTACAAACGGGTATACTAACGCTTCGGATTAATCACGAGATATTGCACGGAGGAAAATGAACTTTGAACCGGGAATTTGGAGAGAAGTTTCAGATACCAAAAATTGAAGTGAAAGGGAGCAAACCATCATGATAGAGGCTTTTGCCGATATTGTTAGTGTGTGAAAGGGAGCAAACTGTCATGCCAAGACTTTTCGCCGTGTGCTCCTCAAGTTTTTTTTCTTTCTTTCTTTCTTATGAGGCTCTTTTTCAATGCAACGGCTCCGTTCCGTCGCCCCATAAACCGACCGTTTCCTTTCGTTTGACCATCATTTGAAGCGGTCGCAAAACTGAACGGAAGGCTTGTACTGTACGTATCCAAACAGAGTCCTTTTTTAGCTTGCCGGCAGAGGTCCTTGGACAGCTCGGTTACCTAAGCTAGGTTTAGTAGTGTGAGCCTTCAGCCGACTTTCCATATGCCCGGTACTAGTATCATCATATAAATAATACGTACTCGTACGTAGGTGCCTTAAATCAAATCTTTTTACAGGTATGCATGCCGGAAAAGTACTGTATACTATCCGGGGAATTATGGATGGTTATTAGGAAGGCTTTGTGACTTGCTCGAGGCGTCAGATCATAGTGCATGTAGTCTGGAGAAGTGTTTCCTTTGGTCCGCCAAATTTCTCATCTAATTTATGCGTCAAGAGTGGATGACATGTCGGCCCTTGCATCCCGCCGCGTGCGAGCGTGGAGGGGGCTATCAGGCCATGGTGGGCTACTGGTGGTCCGACTTCTATTAGCATGAGGGGAACGGTACCCCAGTAATACCGGTAGCTTGCGGCTCAACTCTTCGCAATTAATTTTAACGTCGCGAAGCTCCGATACCGGCTTCGTGCTCACCCAGGCCCTCTATTTCTCCGGGCCAAGCAGAGCACAATACAGCGAAACTCGCTGTGAGCGATATGTTACTGTAGTAAATATTAATACCTGGAACACATAATACTCAAGTAATTGCCTTTTTTAATCACCGGATGACCAGCAAACGCCCGAATTTCCCCGATCTCAGCTACCGTGCCTACATACCCAAAATAAGCTCTCATGTATGATACGCTCATCAGCATACCCAAAATTTTTGCCATCAGGGCCAATCTCGTGCCATCGGGGTATCCCGCTGGGAAACCCGCCGCCCAAGCCTCAATATTTCGTTTGTAAGTCCTGTGGTTCATCCTCATGAGATGCGGTAGCCATCTGACAAGGAGGCGAATCCCTTCGACGACCCGCCGTTTGAGCCGTCACCCCACGAAAAGGGACGGGCGCGTGGGCTTTATCAGAATACCGGCAGTGTCCTGACCAAAAAAATCGCGTGAGCACGGCACGCTATACAATATTGTGGCAAAGTGTTTCCGATAGAGTTATTCCCGCAACTGACGGATGGACATCGCCCAACGAGTTTAACCTACTTCTCCGTCCATCCTAAGAATGTACGAGTACTGTAATTCCCTTCAGCGGCGGGATTATGGATACGTACTGCAGGAATTTATCGGTCTTTGCCATTCTCGTCCAAGAATCATCTGACTCGGCGCTCAAACCCTAACCCCGAGCGGGGGTTAGGATAAGCTTAAGGTGACGGCTCTTGCTATCGTATCGGGGATGACGGGTGGCGGGGTGCGGGGAAGCTTTTGCCGCCTCTAAAGTACCGGCCGGTGCCGGGAACGAGATATTGTGGATGTGGATACCCAACTGCAGAACCTAAAGATGAAATGTGCTTGTAGTGTTCGTGCCGCATGGCTCGAGCCAGTTCTCTGCATCACAACTTGTTTCAGCGGTCGCATCATTTGTGCTTTGACCAGGCGTTCAAACCAGAAGCCGAATTCAAGCAAAGCAAATATGCACGAGGGTGATCCACCCTATTGACGCCAAACTTTGCTCACAATCTTCCAGCCACCGTTCTCCGGGTACTGTATCCTTTACTAATACTATTTTGTCACGTTATGTAATCCCTCACTCCGTGGCGCAAGAGTTAGGCTGGATCCTACCGGAATAATTGAGAGCCTCGTTATGATGATTGGATTGCCTCCCCCAGTAAAGCCTGTTGTATTTCCCTTTTTCGCTCGCCTCAACTGAGGGCCGAAATAGTCTTTTACTGTAGCTGTGCTTTCTCCTTCAACCCAAAGGGGGGAATTCTGGGCGTCCTTGCGTCATTCCCAATTATTCCGGTCCTTACATTAGGCATGGGTAACCCAGGAGCGGCTAAGGCTGATACCATCATGATACGAAACAACTTCAACAAGTTACCGGTGTACCGGGTATGACATTCTACTCGTACTGTACGTCTCATTAGCACATGTCCCATTTGTCCTGTCTCTCGCCAAGACGTGTGAGACGCCATGACGGTTGTGGGTTAAGCTCACCCGCGGGGTATGCACTGAGGGTGATTCGAAAGTACTCGTAACATGCCAGATGTCCAGTAACCGGTCTTGCGGGGCGCAGGTTGCATAAGTCCAGGTACACATACGGTGGGAATGCGGGGTCGATAATGTCAGGCTATCCCTTTACCTCGGCTGTCAGAAAAGGCCCTCCCGGGTTCTGTGGGATCGGGATAAATTGTGTTGGATCATGTGATGGAAATAACTGACGGGTAAGTATCATGCTCGGGATGAATTGTTTCGGCGAGAGTAGGAAGGTGGAGGGAGAAAATGTCCGGGCTCTAGCGTCCCATGCAGTCATCGGAAATCACTCTCAAGTGGGAAATATGTAGTAAAGGCTTAAGTTATAGACGGCTACCCCCCACGGTAGCGTTTAGTGAGTGGTCATGGGCCATGGGCGGTGGATACCGTGTCTACGCTGTCCTATGTACGACATTGGGGAGCATGTGTCTGTCCGAGGTCATCCGTCCAGTTGTTGCAATGAAGTATGACCATACTTCATTGCACGACTGATAGAAACGAGGGAGAAGTGGACAAGGAGAGGGGTGGGTTCAAATATTCAATCACTGCCCGGGAGGAGAACCCCTGGACTGTATACCCGTGGAATGAAAGGCTAACCATGGCCAAACCACGTGACTTTGCTCACGAGTTGTTCGTCTTCGTCAACCCGTAACGTGCGCAGAGTTCTTGGGCCTCCCTATCACAAACCCCAGACAAGTCTTCTGGAATTTCCTAAAAATTTCAAGGGCAATGAGCGGGGGGGCTAGTATCGGCCTCGCGCCGGTCTTTATTACGCTCGGCAGGGTTTTTGCACCCTCCTCGGGAAACTCATATTGGTCACACTCGGTCACTCGGTACTCGCTTCTCTCTGCTTGTTGGAAATTGAGGACGACAGACAGGATAAAACCGGTTGTCGTTGCACCAGTAATGACTGAAAGGTGGGTTTTACGCAGCAGACTGAGTTGGCTCTAATGGTAATGAGGGAACCTTGTATTGTATGTGTGTGAAGAGTAGAGAACAAGGAGTGAGGAGAGTTTCATACAAGAGGTGTGGAGTGGAGTTCGTTGTCGACTTGAGGGTTGAGAAGGTTGAGAAGAAAAGAAAAGAAAAGAAATAGGAAAGAAATAAGGTGAAAACTTTTCACTGCTTACGCGTCCTCATCTGAGAGGTACGCACACCACTGTAGCCTCCAGTCTGAGCTACGGGTACTTAACTGCCATTTTCAACACTGCTTGTAGGTTGTTTGAGTTGTCGAATCCACCCGCGTGTGTCTGGGAATTTAATGATGGACATATATACCCTCTCTATCCCTTCGACTTCTATCTCGCTTATCGTAAATGCGTAAGCTGTCTTTCTTGGGCTAACGGAAAAGAAAGGCGTCACCTCCGATACAGTGGTATGGCGTAAGCTTTTTCTAACTACCCGAATCCGGCGGCGCGCGCCTTTGGGGGCTACGACACGGCGGTTGGAGAGAACTGGGAGAGTAAAGTAGTGTCAGCTCCCCTACCCCGTGTCAATCATAAACGCCGTTACAAGTAAAGCCTCTCATGTTGGGAGAAGTTCCAAAGCAAGAGGTAAGTATTTATAAGTCCCGTAGTTACGAAAACTCTTGTTGTCTGTTGGGCACTTGGTGATTTCGCTAGGCTCTGCTGAACAGAACCACAAGGGGAGAGGAAGCAAGGTATAGAGATAGGCCGATGGATAGGAGAGTGACGCATGGGTCATAGAGTGTCACTCGAAGTGGGGTTTTAGTAAGAGCGGATACTCGGTTTTCAGCGTTTCCAGCAGGCCGTGAGTCCCTACTAGACGCGCCTAGCCTCTGGTGTCTTTCTTATAATCTCTTTCTTCTATATTTCCTTTAATCCCCCCCGCTTTCATTCCTTTATATAACACACCCACTCACCGGGGAGTTACCCCCCCTTTCTCTTTCTTTCTTCGCTTTTACATTCGTTCCAATTCTAGATTTCCCCGGTATTAGTATATGTGCAGACAACCCCCTCACCAGGGGCATCGGAATTCTTACCTTTCACATCTTATCGGACACCTTCCCACTGCAGAGCCGAGTAATAGACCATGCCTAATCTCCACACCCAGTCGGAGACCGTAGCCGAGACTAAGTTGCTCACCATGAAACGTTACCATCGCAGCGACTCTAGAAAGTGGTATTGGCAGATACAGCCCTGGAATTCGAGTTGTGTCTAATTTCCACTCTATCCAGCATGTTACGAGATTCGGGGGTGGGAATAGCACAAGTCCGGAAGACGGTTTTATCGGTTAGTTAAAAAGGAAAAGGAGAAAGGGAAGGGGAAAAACGACCACCCCGATTCGAGGAAACAAACAGTGCCAGCAAATCCGCCCACAAGCCGGGAAAGCATCGAACATGTATGATAGGAATGCAAACTTAGTCCACAACGCGCACATCCCTACATAACACCAAGCAGTTGGAAGACCCTGATTATGCTATGGGAAATCCACTTTCTAATGCAAAAAATACTCTGCTAGAGTGGTAGCAGCGGGACAGCGGAACAAGTAGAAACGTGATGGCGAGGTTGAAGATATTAATACTTGGCATGAAAAATATTATGATATCATAGAAGAAAGGATTCTGTGTGGCAGGTATGATACTCCAACTCACGACCAAGTCCCTCGCCGAAAAAGAAAAAAAAAAGGACCCGAAGCAAACATCTGATTTGGGACATGATAGAAGATCTGAGATATCCTAATGACTGTTCTGTGTTTACTATTTATTAAGTAATTTTTCCACTTCAAGCTACATAACTTTCCATCACAATATCATACTAATTACCTTTCGCTGTCAGAATTATAATATAGTAGCTCGACGCAAATTCGGATATGCGGAAATAATTATTCCCAAACGGAAATTTATCACAATAACCAGTCGGAGCACTTCATTTTACCCGCCCAATCACGGACTACTGAGAGGTTTTTTGTTTATGAGATACCGTAATAACATTATTATGCCCCTCTTGTGATTTAGGAAGGATGTTGCAATGATATCAGTTCTACCGCTTCCGTCGTCCTGGACCAACACAACCATCCCTCCCCCAACCTAGGAGCAAATATCTCATTTTGGCAGCCGCGTACCAATCTGGTCTTATCTATTCGGCTAAAGATTTAAGCCCAGTTGAGAAAAGGTCTGATATGAAATTGTGCCAGGAAAATTTAATTGGCTGTTACTTTAGAATCATAATAGTTTTGAGAGCAGAAACCCGGAATACCGCGTGTTTATAATTCAATAAAACCAAAAAAACTTTCTTACTGGCAATGCGGGGGGGAGGGGGTCAGAGAAGTTGATATCTTAATTCCTCTTTCAAGTTCCGATTTAGAAGGCAGACAATTTGGCAATAAATTAGGTACTATCACAATAACAGTTACTTGATAGGTGAGCAATATTCAGGACCAGCCAGTGCACTGCCGGTCAACAATACAAGACTGTAACATGGCTGAAATTCATCTGCCGGTGCTCCACAATCACAAAGAAAAATCAGTCGCGACCGGAATTGGAAGTAAATTTTTCTTTTCTCCATTTTATCGCATATAACTCATAAGTCTTCTAGGCCTGAGTTAGTTGGTGACTTAAAAAAATGGCATACAAAAATTTAATGTGATAGAAAAAATAAATATCTGATTTTTTTATTGTCCTTAACATATCTTGCCATCGGTATGATAGATAAGATAAGAGCAGATTGGTATGATACACGCCTGCCAGAATGGGGAGATTTTCTCCTAGGGTTGACCACCCCCATCTCACTCACAGCTCCAACCCCATAACCTCCAACCTAAATGCATCCCACCGGGAATAATGCCCCGCAAACCCGCCATCAAAGTCCATCTTTGCCTTCACTACCTCTCTCTCTAAATCTTCGACTACAACACTCAACGTGCCCTCCTGTCCCCACAGGGGCCCTGCAAGCACCTCCCCCATGGGGCCAAACACTACAGACCCACCATTACATAGAACCGCTTCTGCCGGTGTCTCCCCCTCCTCCTCCTCGCTGCACGCCGCGCTAGCCATATCGTCCGCGAACGGTGGAAGCGTGTGGTTCGTCACAAATTGGTTGCACCCGAGCACATAGCATCGCCCTTCTAGGGCTATGTGCCTCATTGTTGAGATACAGGATTCGCGGGCGTCGGCGGTGGGCGCGAGGTATATACTGGTGTTTTGTGTGTAGAGGGTTGCGCGTAAGAGGGGCATGCTGGTGTAGTAATTATTAGGCACATGTGGGGGAGGAAGAGGGGGAGGGGAGGGGGCAATACTAATTCTCCCAGCAAATCGCCGCACCAAGAGTAACCTTCTGACCGGCAATCTCGGTTTTAATAGCTTTCAAGGTTTTTGGAGATCCAATGCCCCAAACTACTCTTTCCGTCCCGGTCTGATTTCCCCTCTCGTCTGATCAGCGCTGTGCCAACCCTACCCAGGCGCTCACCAGTAAGAGGCAGAAACTGACCGGCATAACCTTCCTTCTCTTCCCCACAACCCCACTCCTCGGACACACGAACACAACCGAGCAAAACAGCGTAGCACCAACTTTCTCCACCACGCCAACCACCAAAAATACCCCCGTATCCTTCGCGACGTGTTCCAAGAACCCGCGCGTGCCGTCTCCGGGCGTATCGTACACGCCTAGTCCGTCCGGGTGGGTATCACCCAGGTCGACGGCTTGTGTCCAGTACTCGTGATACTGAATTCTACCCGTATTTGTCCGGGAGCCTACTCTCGCTCCAAAGGTGCTGGTGCGCGGGTACCCCCCCAGGAAGGCTTCCGGGAAGAGGATGAGGTTTGTGCCCGCGCTGGCAGCGGTTGTGGTTATTTCCTTGAGCCTCGAGAGGCTTTCCGCTAGGGTGTTAGAGGTGGCAAATTGGGCTACTGTTAGCATCAGACTGGGCATCGTGAACTATGGGCGAGTTCTGTGATGTGTAGAGTGTGTTGGTGAGGATTGGGTTGGAGTTAGAGCATCGCGGCTTATGAAGTGGTGGATTGGGGTTATACATGGCCGCCTTGCATGCGTGCGGCTCAAAGGTGGGGGCCTTGGTCGAGGATCGGAGCAAGGGTCCTCCGGCAGGTTGCACAAGGCAGCACAACGGGTGAGAAGCTTGAAGGTGTCCGGCACAAGCTGTACGATTCCGTCTTTATCATACATCTGACCAATCAGAGCCCAAAACCGCTCACATGATTAATCGAGGCTACGATTGGTTGATTTTGAAGCCTAAAAACCCCCAAGATAATAATACGGTACTACAATACGGGTACTCCCGGTATGATACAATCGTGGATCATCAGGTATAGCATAACACGAAAAATCTATTTCAAGCTACTCCGTGGTAATCTCCGTGACCAACTTTCCAACATGCTCTCCCTTCAACAATTTGACCATCCCTTCGGGTAACTCTTCGAACTTTGCCCTCCAAACGGTCTTTAGGGGGCGAACCTTGCCCTGCCTTACCCATTGGAACATCTGTTCCCGCGCTTCTGGGAATCTATCCTCAAACTCCGTGACGACAAAGCCCTCCACTCGAGCTTTCATGAGTATCTAGACATCATCATCACTGTTAGCAGTCGCCCGCCCCAGAGTGCAAAAAAAAAAAAAAGAAAAAAAAAAGGGAGAAACAGACAATATTCGTCCAAGCCTTGGCGCTAAGAACCATCTCCTCCCCACAAGAATCATAGCGGAAGATGGCCCCACAAGCAACGACCCTCCCGTTCCTCGCGATCCTGCGCAAGCTCAACTCCAGCGCCTCGCCACCCGTGTTGTCAAAGTAGATGTCGACATACTCCGGCGTCGCCTCCTCGAACTCCTGACGGAAGTTGGGGCTCTTATAATTCAGCGCGATATCGGCGCCGCACTCCTCCCTGATGACGTTGCACTGCTCCTCGCTGCCGGCGATCCCGACGACCCGCTTGACGCCGAGGACGTTCTTCGCGATCTGCACTACGATGGAACCGATCGCTGCGGCGGCGGCAGAAACCACGATGGTCTTGTCGGAGAAGGAGGAGGCGGCGCCGACGCTCAGCAGGCCGAAGTACGCCGTTAGCGCAGTGCCACCCATGGCCATGAAGTCCGCGGGGTTGGTCTTCGGCGGGATCTTCACCAGTTGCCAGTCGCTGGGCGAGTCCGTGTCGACGAGGACGTACTCGCTCCAGCCGAAGGCCCCGCGGACTAGGTCGCCCTTTCTGTGCTCCGGGTGGGAACTCTCGATCACTTCGCCGATCGCCGTCGCGCTCATCACGTCACCCTCCCTCACGGGATAGGTGTATAATCTGTCCGGGCTCGTGTCGCTGATCCAGGTGCGCTGCGCAGGGTCGTTCGAGAACCAGAGTATCTTCAGGAGGATCTTGTTGGCGGATTTGTCCGGCGCCGTGGAGGGGTAGATTGGCCTCTCGATCAGCTTGAAGGCACCCGAGATTGGGTGGGTTCTTTGGGGGTATTGATGGAGGATCCATTGGCGGGTTACGGTTGGGGTTGTGTTATTTGTCTCGGCGGGTTTATCGAATACTACCATGTTGGGCGGGGTTGGTTTTCGCGCTTTGGTATCGCCGGGGGGATCTGTATCAATTCACTGCGTAGGAGCTTCTGGATTGTGGTATTATATATATTCCTGATATTTGACGGTGATGGTTTCTGACTTAGCCGTATGATATGTTATGACGTGATGATTTGCGCGGGAGTAGGGAATGTCAATTTGGTCATTGTGAAGTAGTGCCTCAAGGGGGGGGGTTTACCGCAATGGATAAACTATTCTCCGGTGATCCCTGTTCACCATAACTATAGTCTAACTTATCGTTTTCTCCGTTGCTAGAGGGAAAGAGGTGAAAGGACGGCTTGATCCCCTCGTGGGGGGGCCTTATGGCCTTCACTACCACATTGTGTTAGACATATCCTCCCCTTTTTCCGTTACTGGCTGTGACCCTCAAATCACCGGGCATTACAGTGAAACCACTGTTCTTACTAGCATTCGTGATGCTGTCGTGGTTATATATTCATTTCAGAATAAACCCCCTAGTGTCGGTGATGATCGGTACATCTCAGACGGTAAGAGCTGCAAAGTTAGGTAGGGTAATAGCCTTCGTCGTGACATCTACATCAATCTTTCGGGTGAAGCCCCTTTTCCGTGGGTGCAGCGTCCTAGGTGGTTAAAGGATTAAATGGTTGCTCTTACTTGTACCGTATTATGATACTGTACCGATATCTTGTTGGCTGATCGTTCTTACATAATATAATCGCTAGACACCCGAAACATCCCCACGGACTCCATACGCCAGCAAATATCGCAAAGGACAGCCCACTTAAAAGGAGAGGAGGGAAGGGAAGGGAAAGATAGGAAAGGAAAAAGATGAATAAAGAAATCTCATGGTGCTAGGAAACAACGCACTCGATGTACATCTATACGCTAGCCAACTGATCACAGAACGCTCTGGGGAAAACAGATGGAAAGGAAATGGGTTGGAATCAACCCATATCGGTATCAACAATAGCCCGCTTTACTCATCGATCATATCGTCCCTACCCGCCGCAACCCCTGCGCAAATCCTGAGAGCGGCAAACCTCTCCTCGACTCCCCTCCTCCAGCTCTCCACTCTTCCACCCGGAGCAGCCGCGCCCCCACGTTCTCCAACCCCGGTGTGACTTCGACTATAGCCCCCTTTCTCAACCTTCCTTGCCCTTCTCCCGCTTCCCACTATCCCATCAAGAACCTCGACCCTCCTCTCCCTCTCGCTAACACTCCCCTTCACACTCTCCGGCAAACTTCTATAAACTGGTTCACTCCTCCTCCCACTCCCACTTCCCAGGGTCAACCCACGGGCCAACTGCTCCGCCAGCAAATCCCCCTCCTTCGCCTCCTGTCCCTTCTCATCAACAGCGTCGATATACCGTTGCGCTGCATCGATACTGTCGAAGCGCTTGGGAACCGTGGTTGTGGAGGTCAGGTCTATTGTGAGGAGGGATTTGTGGACGTTGATGGGGTGGCGGTACATGTATTGGATGGAGGAAGGGAGGGGCTCGTTGCTTTCCTCTAGGTTAGCTTGAGGAGGAAGGATCCGGCGGGGGGTTACCTGAGGAGATGAACGCCGCGGTGCGGGCCTGAGGGGACTGCGTAGACTGCGGGTGTTGAGGTAGGGTTTGGACGGCGGACGCGGAATTTGTTTTCGTAAGGTCTTGGAGCCATCGTTTTATTGTTTGGCGCGGCGAGGTGACTTGGTGTGCAAGAAAGAGGAAGAAGGGGTGGAGTTTTGAGGAAGGGGGAAACGTGGAATAACCTACATACTGGGTGGATGGGTGGGTGGGTGGGATGGATCGATCGTGTGGGTTGATGTTTGGGTCGGCGTGTGACGTGGAACAGCGGGGCATCCTAGTTGCCAAGACCGGATTAACGTTGGACCGGATCTGAGTCGTCATAGAAAGTCACTCGTCGCAAGACTATTGTGGCATGGGGTTCCAACGGCGAGTTTGTGTAGGATACCCGAATATGATAGCTCGAAGAACAACACAACGCGCTATAACACCATGAGTAACCCACACCTATTTTCGTACATTTGTGGTTTACGAGATGATAACTAGAGCTTGTTACGAACGCCTTGGCAAGTGACCGTAGGATTGGGGGTGGGGTTTGGGAAAGGTAACGTGGGGAGGAAAATCGAGTCTCCATTGCTTTTATTTACCTGTTACTAGGAATATTCCTAGCACCACCTCTTACTTGGGTCTCCTGTTCTTGAGTCAACCCGCGCTCGGTCTGCTTCGGATTTGAACGGGTAATAGGCCCGTGAAATTTAACAACTACCATGGATGATGTCCTCCAGGTGTGATTCCAGGAGGTCGTTGGTTGGAATTGATACCGAGAGAGGGCAGAGATGATGATAGCAATTGACCTGGATCTATTTCCGGAAAAAAGTCACAGACTTAATGCGTGAAAGCTTTTATTTGAGTCGATTCGAACCTCTCGCTGTCCATAAAAAGTATAGCCGAAAAGAAAGAGGGGGGAGAAAAAGAGGAGCCCCTTGCTATTCCGGGGTAGGAAGTGGGAGGGTGACTTGAGCTAGGAAGTGCAAGGGTGGTTGTGTCAAAGTATGGTTAATGGCAGGGGAAGAATTCTTGGGGGGTAACCTATATATGGGGGAGTGGTAGAGTGAGCGGGATAGTAAGATATTTTAGAATTGTGAGGTACTTGTAGGAAGGGTGGGAAAGAGTTATAAACTTCGTTCTCTTCTTGCCTTCCCTAACTAGACTGACGGTAAAGGCTGGAGTATATATAAAACATAATAAAAGCACCCTGATCGATCCTTCCGTATATCATCTCATCTACATTTGTATCGCCTTGCATGTTTTCTGTTTTTATACACACTCCCGTGGCAGCAAAGGAAAGGCAGTTTTGGGTAACTTTCTCCGTAGCTCATCGTGACTATAGAGCAACGAAACCTCCTAGAATATTCATGTAGCTTCAACGATCGACCACGACTCGCTATCGCTGTACCAACCTTTCCCATTGGATGCGATGGATTTGGGCATATCATTGGCAACCTGCGAAAACACCACCCATAGGACAACACAATCTTCCGCACCACTTGAATCTACACCGCACTTCAAAGATAAACCACTTTATCCAACTAAAAGAGTTCATAAAAGAAGCACTAGCTAGCATCGCAGGTGGGAAATTTAATACAGAGCGAGACGACGAGAAAGCACTCATAGAGCAAGTCATATGCTTTAGCACAAAATCATTATATCCACCCGGAAATACGTGCCTATACCCACGACAAATCGCCCGGAGGCTAGAAATATTCCTCAACTATAACGGACAAAAAAGGAGTAAAGATAATTTGTCCGGGGTGATGTACCGGAGAAGGAGCGATAGGCAGTGGGGGATATCGGTGGTTCGGACATCCGGCAGAAAAGGGCTTCTGCGTGCCAATTAGGACAAAGTTCGGTAGGAGTTCGGGATTTCCGAAGAGAGAAATCAAAACTGCCTATGAGCGGAGTGACCTCCTTCGCGCTCTATTCTTGTTTTAAGGGGTAGAACGCTCACTAATATTTCTACCTCCCGGTAACCACACAATCTTCTGTGTTCACTGCTCATCGTTCCATTCTGCACCTGGATTTCGTGTACTGCGCCGCGAGCACCCCGTCTCACCCGGTCGGGTTGAAGCGTATTCTGTTCCACTTCCCGGAGCATTCTGTCCTGTCGTGCGCATTTTCTATTATACAATCCTTCTACTTCATCGGTGCTTAATTTGGCAGAGTACTAGTGTACAGTGCAGCACATGGGCAGGGGGGGGAGCTTCAGTCGGTAGTGATCGCTGCTGGCTAGCTATCAGGCATCGTAGGGGTATGCTACGGACAGCTGGCCGGGGTGTGTCTAGGTCAACCAATCCCGGATAGGGCTCGTCTGGGTGGATTGGGCGTGTGTTGTATTCTTTGTCCCCATGACACCAGCCATCTTTTTAGCCTCTTGGTGATTTCCTTGCTTCATCACGGATCTGGAGATCAGGAGATCTCCAAGTTATGATTTCATTCATTGGTTTGAAACTCACTCCCTACTGGGAAAATTTTACTTCTAGTGGGAGATAAACTTCCTTCCCCCCTGCCGGGAATGAAGATTTTCGCCCACACAGGCCTGACATTGGAGGAAATAGGTCCTATTAAGGAGGAGCTGATCATGTAGTGAAACAATGTTATGCGAACTTGAACGTCTTGCTTCTGCCCATGTGAACTACTCAAAATATTGAAATCCCTCTATCTACAAAAATATACAATTTCCTCCGCTCTGGTCGGTCTGTTTTTTCACGGAGGTAACTTGAGTTCTAGATTGCTCCTCGAGTGGTGCGGTGTGCGAAGCGTGAGTCTCAGAAATGCTTTTAATTTTCTCAGGTGCAACTAGTGGTGTCAGGAGTGTGTGTATATACTGATTTTATGTTTTGTCTGATGGTGGGATGGATGGTGTGTTCTATTGATGAGGGATTGCTACTTATACTAGTATTGATGTCTGCCAAGCCTCCCAACCCTTCATGAGGTCAATCCCGCGTTGCTAGCCCTACTCGTACATTGTCGCTGAAGGGTGTTCGAAGTGCAAGTTATATCATACATCTATCGATATTATCTAGCTATCTACCTATCCACCCATTAAGCATGCGCAGAGAGAAAAAGGATGAGAAGGAAAAAGCAAGAAAGGATGAAGGAAAAATAAGGAAATAAATGCACGCTTGGGCAAAGGAGAAGATATAATCGAGGATGAATACAACAGACAAAAAGGTCAATACGATGATAGGCGCAGGATAGCAATATAGGACTATATCCCATTCCATGTCAAACGCTGTGAAAAGAAATTCGCGAATATTCATCTAATTACACAAGCGAGAATAGGCGGGTTTGAGAGGGGTGTAGATACACTGCCGGAAAGTTGACGTCCACGATCCTAGCGGAAGGGTAGCCTGGAGCTCATGTTGCGGGACTTATTGAGGTGATCAGAGAGACTGAAAGAAGGGCGATGGCAATATTGGTAAGGAGATGTGGCACGCCTTGGATGTGAAACCATGCCGGTGGCAGAAAGGTGGGAGCGGTCAAAGTAATGAGTGCAGAGATGGTATGTACTTAAGATGGAAGATGAGAGGGAAAGGGAAGTGCTAGCTCCTCAGGATCAAATTGGGCTTGTTGGAGCGGGTTTACGGGCTTGTAACAGTTTGGCAACGCCGTCGTATCCATGGTTTGCAATCCACGGGAGTGGTGTTCTCACCACTTGGTCTAGCATGTCGGGGTTGACTCGAGTAACAGCTTCACCACGCCCTCATGCCCATTTGTGGCAGCCCACAAGAGCGGTGTGGCGCCCTCTTGGTCTGGCATGTCGGGGTTGACTTCTTTCCGCCCGAAAAGTAGCTTCACCACTTCCTCATGCCCCATTAATGAAGCAGAAGTGAGCGCCGTTTTTCCCAGCTTGTCTGGTATGCTGGTGTCGACATCTTTTTGTTCTAGCAGTAGCTTCACCATTTCTATATGTCCCCGGTATGCGGCCCATAGTAGTGGTGTCACACCTAGGCAATCCCGTTTGTTGATATCGGAACCACCTATTTCCATCAAAGTTTTGACCAACTCGACCACTCCAAAAAAGGATGCACAGCGGAGTCCAGTGAACAATGAAGTAATTTTGATATTACCTGTATATTCAGGCGCCACGATGGTCTTCAATAGCAATTTTGAGGATATGTGATTACCGTATTGGCCCAAGAGCTCCATGGCAAGCGACTTCACGCTATCTGTCATTTCCCGTCTTGCGTGGGCTCCCCAGTGTAGAGAAGCATATTTAAGAAAGGGTACACCTCCCAAGTCGGTAAGAGGATGAGAAGAGAGGGCCTTGATGCGGTGCGAATTCAAGTAGGTCAAGCACGTTTCCGCGATTATTGAATGGGATGTAAGGAAAAGGTCATTGTGAAAGGTGAGATATTCTTGGAGGGTATGGTGGATCAATCGCACAGTCGAAGCTTCCTTATCCTCCGTGATAAGTCCCTGACAGAAACCCATCAATGCACCTATTGAGGAAACGTTTTCGCTATCGAAATCTGTGGACCCTATCTCCACCGCGAGAGCGTGGCAGAGCTCATCTACCTTTAGCGGCCGTTCTGAATAGCATATCTACATTAGAGTTGCCATCGCAAGCGCTGATTTTGCCTCGTCTTGTGCTTGTATCCGGTCCAAGGTTGCACCATAAGCATCCCCTAGCCCTAACCCTAGCCCCCGCCCATCCGTTGCCGCCCTGAGCCTTCTTCGTCTCTGGCGGACCGTAGTTTCCTGCAGGATTGCCTCGATATTGAGGGAAACTAGGAGGAATCTTTATTCGCGTCGGTCAGCAAATAGCCTGTGGCGGATTTCCGGGCCCCCTCGTCTCTACATACGTTTGCTTCAGGAATACTCTTCATAATATCTTCCCTCAACCCGGTGTTGTGTCCTTTTTGAATCTTGCCTCTAGATATGCAACGATATCGTCTTCCTTAGGCGTTATCGGAGAGCTCGTCGCTCTTCCATCAAGTTGCCTCTCAATTTATCATCCTGATATGAGGTCTCTCGGTCATGAATACCCGCGTGTTTGGTGCCTTCTGTAGAATATGGCACAGGGAATCAATAACCTCGAATCGATGCTCCGGCACACATTCATCAAGAGCGTCAATGCATATAAACGTGGGCTGTGTGGATGAGGCTGTTTGGAACATCTTCACAATGCCCGAAACCTCTAGTCCTCGGCCACCGATAACCATCTTCTGCTCTCGGTATTCCTCCACTATC